CTATCATTACTTAATACTTACATATCACACATTCACCACTCAGACTCATGAGTCACGTGCTGTTTCGATTCTCTTACTTTTCAGGCACTATTCTCTGGTCAATAACACTGAATATAAAATCCAGCGGGTTAACCTTATTTCGCACAGAACAGCAGCTTACTCATACGGTTACATTCCAGCACGGTTCTACTTACTTACTTTCTTTACACTCACACACTTACACACTTACACTTCAACTTTATTCTAATCACGGGGCCCCTGCCAGCATACTTACGCTTCATGCGTCTCAACTCTTCATCATTCTTCTCTTCAACTTGACGACATGATTAAGTTTCTCTCACAGTACCGCTCTCCCAATGGAGTAACATCAACAATTTTTGGGACGTTATATAATAATACACGTGAGGTGGCCTATCAAACATAAGTTATAAGTTCGAATTAAGAAATTTAAAGTAGTATTAAACAAGTACTATCTCAGCAATTCGGGATTAAAACTGTATCCCCTTACATGTACATTTTAAAAATAATAAAATACAACCCTTACATCAAGAATTAAAGATGTTAAACTACAATTGAGTACGTCGTAGCATTTGTCAGGTACAGTATTACGTCATGATACTTATCGTAATACATCAACTAAACTTATGTTGCGCAATTATAAACAGTCCTGTCTTATATTGCCAAAATGGTTAGGGGCGTCGCGGCAGCTGCCACGATAGTTGGGGTTGTGTTCGATCTTGTGTGGGGTACGAGGGTCGTTTGTGCGGTATGTTTAGAGTGAGAACGACCTGCGGAATTAGTATGATGATCGTGGAAGTAGTCGGGTGGAACCGATAAAATGCCGGTAACTGTGGTAACAGGAGTAACTGTCAGACTGTGTGAGATTTCATAAATGTGTGAATTTCATTGGAACCCAGCTCCCGAAAGACACGTGACGATCGCTAACTGAGTGGCCAGTCTCACTAGTTTGAAACTTAACTGTTACAAGAACGACCTAATTAAACGACATTCCGAAGGCCCCGTCAATAGTCTGGGATGGGTGTTTGAGACCAACAATTCTTAAAATACTTACGGTGCTATGGGGTGTTAATTCCTTTTTACCATCAAAAGATCAAAACCAGACGCTAAACAATTGCACAACTGCACTGGAAGCACTAAGTTAATATGCGTTCCATTGCACATGTTTTATTAAATAGGGCGACTAAATGGTATCTTTCATATAGGAGGTGGTCTAAAATCACATGATAATCTTAAGGTGGTTTCGCTAAGCGTGTTAATTGCTTAATCAACTTGATTGACTATCGGGCCTCGGTAGGTTATCTCGGGTGTCCTCCCTGCAATTAACAATGGCATATGATTAGGGGATGCTCGTTAACAACTGATGGTTCGAAGGGTTGACCTACTTTGTGGTCACGTGGGTATGTGGTTACGTGGTGTGGTTTAATCATTACGTCATGGTTGGTACGGCTCACCGGTTTTTGCAGTACCAGGAGCATTTTACTCGATTTATTTACAAGTATTAAATGAGGCATAGGGCAGTTTACTACTACTACTTATTACTGGTACAATGGTGGATATGCAGGTAGCTGGGCAACATCCGGTCGGAAGAACGACATTCTCAGGCCCAAGTTATTTGTTATACTTATGTAGTAGTGTTAAAAGTATTAAAAATTAAGCTAATACATGGCGGAATACTCCGTTATTTAACTCGTGGATATTAAATAATTACGACAACAGTCATGCTCTTACCTGTCGTGGGGATAGTTTAGGGATCTGAAAGTAGGAACCCTGAAAGTAGAACCCAGGAGGAGTGCAGGAATAAATTGATTTATGTGGAAATTGGGGGGGCGAAAGTCAAGTTACAGAAATTGAATTTTATACCACAAAAACCGCGATACATTGGCCCCGGTGGCCCCGGTTTCTAAACGGAGGTGGCGAATTTACTACTAGATATACGTAATTACAACAACGACAACAACCACCCACCTTTTCTACACTATAATCTACCATGTCGATGCAACACATCTACTGTGATTGGGAGCCCGTTTATGGTAAATACTTATTACTGGTAATATACTACAATTGTGGCTTACACTTATACTAGTCTTAATGGTCTGGGTACCGTACAATTTTACGGTATCATAAGCTACGAGTGATTTCAAACTTAATACTAGGAGATGGTGGTTATTCTAATCCACCTAGTGCTTCCCTCTCTTTTCGAAGTGTTCATCGACTCCTTAGAACGTGTCTACTTGTAATATACTGAACGACGTATACGACGCAGAGTTGTTTTTACGCGTTAATAAAAATAATTAGTTGCGTTGATGATGATATGGTGACCATTAGGGTCATTCCCCCCCCTTTGTGAGTGGCAAAATTATTAGCTTCCATCAACTAGCTGGTGCCATTTGAGGCCAGTTTTGGTAATCTCCATATCTAAAGTGATGGTGGAGCGTGGAATTTGTATCGCCTCTCGAAGCTGGAGTGCTGCACGCATACAACACTTCAGCCAGAGTTGACATGACAACCAGATAATATCCAGACGCTCTTTAAATAAACTACACAATTCTCGTTACTCTGGTTACAGCGAATGTCGTGGGGTTTTTGAGTTCGTGAGACGTGAGCGTGTAGGTAACCAAAGTAACGTTATAGTGAGTGTACATGATCTTAGTTAGCAAAATATAGGGGACGCATCTCCATCCTTCACCGAAGAACGGTCAAACATTACTTTCATTATCTCACTGACGTCCAGTTGCTGTGGCTGGCAACTAACCTCGACGTTTTTAATAATTTAATTTAACTTCAAAACTGTGGCTCGAAATCACAATTCGTGATTATTCTGTTAAATGAACTTCTTTCAAAAGTGTCTCATGTACATATTTAATAATTTAACAAAAAGTAACCATTATCCTAGCTTTGGTCGGCCAAACCATTTACTCATTAATAATCCCTAAACTGGGATCGTTATTTTCATCAGCCGAATATTTCAAGCACACTGACCTGTTTCCTCACTGGTTCATCAGACAGGGGTATCCTTGGCGTCGGTCGTGTTCTTTAAGGAGACATCTACTGTCGGCGTTTGGAGTGTACTGATTCGATTCGTGCTTCTTGTATCCTCCTCGGCATGGTACTTCTTTGGTTGGTTCCGTCCACGTCAATCCAATATATGAGGGGGAAATAATGTTAGAGTCGGCTAATCCTACAACGCTTGTGTCTTAATAAAATGCCTACGATGGCTCGACTGGTAACTATACTGTCGACTGATAATATCCCCACACTAGTGCGTAACGTTGCCTTTAGCATGAATATTGTATACGGATCATTAATGCCTGTCAATCATAAGCTATTCGAGTCCCGTATATCTGGGTCCAATTTGTAAGAGCCCAGCCGTCGTTAAACGGGCTGTGCACTACAAAAGGTGGCCTGGAATAATACGTCAAACAACCTAGGGCGGAGAGTTTATTTAAGGCTCCATAGAAGCTTTCCTATAGCTCCCAAACATGATCAAACCTGGATAGCCCGGGCAAGCGGGTCAATACTTACCTGCATCATGTCCTCCTTCAGGTTCCACCAGGGTCTCGGGTTCGTAACGTTCCACTAATTTAGTGGCACTCGAAAGCCTCCGAGAGACACGGCATCATTCCGTATTAGTAGTGTTGTTATTTTAACGTAATTTCACTGACAATTTGCAGCACAGGATTGCTCCTGGCTGGTGACCCTTGTTGTCACTGATTTATATAATAACACCAGTAAGGTACGCCTATTTAGGGGGCCAGAATATAGCTTCTGACATCAAGGTAATTATACCAAGCAATGGATATATATAATCGTAATATCGTCATAATAATTTAACGTAAGTTCTGATCCTAAAGCCTTCTAGGAGTACTCACTCCGGTGGTCGTTAGATCTCTGGTGAAGCTTGGAGGCGTAGAATCCGACAAGGTTCGACGTGGTGGCTACTCCGAGAAGTACTGCGACAGTGGCGGTTCATCATCAGCCGCTCGAGGGTGAGGTCCAGAGAAATCGGCAGAGTCCATCAAGGTGGTGAAGTCCTCCCGGATACTTCCATCTTAAGTCACGAGTGGAAAAACGTAACGTACTCTGGATCGGTCCAAGAGAAGTGATGCGACGTGACACGTGGTTCACAGGTCGCTAGCAGTATCTTGAGGGCGACAGTCTCGGCGGCACTTCTTTGGTTGTTACCGGGGCGGGCCGCGCTTGGTCCGTTATCAGACCAATTACCATAGTGGTATGGGTCGTTATCTTAACACCCAACTGAATGGTTAATCCTTGGCGAGATCCTAATTATCGACACTTCAGCTCCCGGCTGGTTTGGCCGTAGGGTCGGGTTTCTGTAACCATGGCAACCGATGTTACCATGACAACCGATGTACGCTGGTCCAGGGGCGAACTATCTGGGTAAGGTCCGGTCTTGGATAACGTCAGATCCGGGGGTTCTTACAGTACTCATGCCGCAGTACTGTCACAGAACTGTCACAGAACTGTCACAGAACTGTCACAGACCTGTCACAGAACTGTCAGAGAACTGTCACAGAACTGTCACAGACCTGTCACAGAACTGTCACAGAACTGTCACAGAACTGTCACAGACCTGTCACAGACCTGTCACAGAACTGTCACAGAACTGTCACAGAACTGTCACAGAACTGTCACAGAACTGTCACAGAACTGTCACAGAACTGTCACAGAACTGTCACAGAACTGTCACAGAACTGTCACAGAACTGTCACAGAACTGTCACAGAACTGTCACAGAACTGTCACAGAACTGTCACAGAACTGTCACAGAACTGTCACAGAACTGTCACAGAACTGTCACAGAACTGTCACAGAACTGTCACAGAACTGTCACAGAACTGTCACAGAACTGTCACAGAACTGTCACAGAACTGTCACAGAACTGTCACAGAACTGTCACAGAACTGTCACAGAACTGTCACAGAACTGCGAATGCCTGAATTACAAATAATCACGTGATCGTAACTTTACTTCTCAACTATACTCTTCTCAGCGACTCAGGGAGAAGGATAATGTCTGATCACGGACAAAGAATGGTGGAGGATGAGATAAACACGTTCTTCCCTAATTTATCTGAGAAAGATAAGAAACACATCATGGAATATGTGAAGGAGATAATCCAAATGGATCACCTGGTGAGATTAGCTGGTCATCACAACTCTGCAAGCAACCCTAGTGTTGCTCTAATGTTGTAACCCGTTCAATTGTTCCTTTCGTTTTAAATGAGACTCTTCTTGAAAAGCACTGCTAATTAATTAATTAACTAATTGTGATTTGAATTACTAACCTCCCGGTGAAGTTCATGAAAAAATCTAGGGTTTTGAAGGATATGGAATACACAAAACCACCAACACGCTCATTGACCTTAAATGGTAGTGTTACTATAGTTACATATTGACCTTATTTGCTAGTGTTACTATAGTTACATAATGTAACCCTCAGTTGACGATCTACTCCCTGGAATCAAAAGATTTAGATCACGCTTTATTGTTCGCTCTGATAAAGAGTAAAACTGATAACGACTCTGCAATTGAACAGATGAGTATGGCGATCAAATGGAACCGTATGGAGCTTGCTGAGGAAATATTGAATATGGAGACTGTTCAATTTAGCGTAAGTTAGTTAACTGTTTATGTTTTAATTGTGTTTATGTTGTATTTAACAATGTTTCAAGTTTTATCCTGCTTACAGTTATCAAACTGAAAGTTAAAAAATAACAGCTACTAGAGCCGGTATACGATCGTATGAAACTCTACAAATAATCTGATATACCCATAGAAAGAACAGCTGACATCGTGCATGGAACAAGCTATTTTGAGTGATAGAAAAGACTTCCTAAATATTTTTTTGAAAGAGGTTTATTATAGTTTATTATAGTTTACTTTCATAATGGTAACTTTCATAATGGTAACATTCTACTTTTTAGTTTTTAAGGAGGAAAAAAAGGAAAAGAAGGAAAAAATCTAAAATTTTCACTTCTCTACAAATCATGAAATCTTTCGCTTAAATAAATGATATTATCTCAGTAAATTAATAAACCTCAACCTTATAACACAGGAAAATATAGAAATGAAGAGTTTCCTGACATATGAAAGATTGGAGAGTATGTTCAGGTACAAGCCGGAGGGCTCCGCTCACATGGGAAAGAAAAGGTTTTTTAAAGCTCTGGAGAGACAAATCCCTGTAAGCGTTCTTTTAATTAGTTTAAAACTTTCAATACTACTGTATTCAAAATAATTTGAGGTATTGAAAGAAACTTCTTTTGTTGTAATGACTTAGGTAGGATTAGTAGAACGATTAGATGATTAACACCATTGTCCATTACACTGTTTTTTCAAAGCCGATAATCCGATAACTTCGTTAAAATGATAAAGATAAGGGAGTAAGTACTACTAAAGGGTAAAAAGTACTATAAGTTGTGCAACTTTTTTAATTGGATCACGAAACTTAATGATAACCTAAAATGATTATAACGTACTTGCATTCTCAAACATCATTATTACTTCCTTATACTAAAAATAAAATGTAGTAAAGTATAGTATGTGAGTAATGTGACTGTAATTTAATTTGAAATTATTCAAAAAATCATAATTTAATGATGATAAAAGGAAAATTTGTTGACTTTTATATATATCAGTTTTTGTGATATCTGTGTTAAGGCGGCACTTTTTTATTTTAAGAGGGGGTGCCATGAGGGGAGGGGGCGCCATGAGGGGAGGGGGCGCCACGAGGGGAGCGCTTTTTGAGCGGGGAAGCGCCAAAATGCAACGTTATGCCACTGCTTATTTGATAAAGTTTTACCTTTTTGAGAACAAGAATGGGATGTGGCACTGGAAAAGGTAGTACCCCCAGTACAGGTGATAGTTTTGCTGCCTCTCAGTATGAGCCCCTCTTCACAGGGCACAGTCAGCACTGTTCCTGAATTTATGTTCCTGCATAATTCTGTGTCACCTGAGGGAATTTTTGTCAGCAAAAACCTTGTTGATAGTACTCGACTGTTTTTATAAAGTTACTAGTGTAACCTGTGCCTACGGCCGGGACTTCACTATTGCAGTTGAAATGCAAAAGTATAAACCCCCCTATTATCTTATTATTTTCGAAAACACGCATTATATTGTCGTATGGAAGTATGAACTGTATTAATTATAGTCCAAACAGACCGCAATGAATCCCCCCTAATAAGCTTATAGTATTACATGACTGTGAAACTTGCGGTTGATATGCACTGCCAAATAATGAGTGCCCCCCCCCCCCTAATAAGCTTATAAGCTTATAGTATTACATGACTGTGAATCTTGCGGTTGATACACTGCCAAATAACCTAATTATGATTCATGTACCAACGCTGCATATATGCAGTAATGGGGGAGAGAGCAAGGGAGACAAGTGATCAATTTTTTGTCACATTTGTGGTACACAATCATCAATAAATCGGCTACTTGGCCGATTAAAAAAGTGAGAATAAAATTATTCACTGATAAAGAATCTTTCAAAATATTCGACATTGGATATGAGTTGCAATGGGAATGCAATCATAAGCGATAAACTAACCTGAGTCTAAGCATTAGGATTATCATAAAATTAAATGACTAATACAAAATTTGAATATCATATTATGATTAACCTAGATCATATCTGTAATGTGTTGAGACTTTATCTTTCAACTTGTTACTACTCTCAAACTTAAACCCATTCTTCAATATTTTCCTCAGCTTACAGCTACCCCCTTCATCATCGTCATGATAGACCCAGGTAACCTCAAGAAAATCATCAAACCAAATTTGAAGCTGAGTGGACGTTTTCAGGAAAGTAAGAACTCCAGCTCGATCGAAGAAACCCTCATTTCCACTGAAGGACGTGAAGCTACAACCTCCGGAAGATATTCTCTTAGAACTGAATCTCATAAAGCCCACATCTTTGAAACTCCACTGGATGTTATTGCTCTCATCTATCTTCTTGTCTGTTTTAACCTGGAACTTCTTACCCTCGTCTGGTCCGGTTACATAAGTGGTGCTGTCTGCGGGAACAGGGAACCACTCGCTGTACTGGGTACCTAAAGGATACAAATATTGGAAAAATAATATTGTTTAAGTTACAGCAATGAAAATAAAAGCGATCAACAAACAGAATTTCACCAAAAGTAATGCACATTTTGCTTCAGTTTCAAAAACAAATGGGGGGGGGGGGTTATTATTACCTTGAGATCGTAAAATCAGTAGAATCACTCCGAGAAGAGCGAAAACGTTTATTGTAGCCATCAAACCATGGCCTCTGACAAGTGATATTTGTTTAAAAAATATAGCTGCATGGGTTTGATAACTGAATTATATTATAACTATATTATAACTGAATTATATTATAGGTATCTCATTCACTATATTATCATAAAGTTATCAAACTGTGGTATTCGTGATCCCTTGATAAATACTTGCACGGAAATGTTTATTTCCAACAATAGACCTGACAAGCTTCCAAGCGAACTCAACTAAAAACTGATAATCAAGATAGGGGGTAAAACGATTTTGCTTGATCTTTGGCTAATATAAAATGGAGTAACTAAGTACAAAATATAGAACTAGTCGGGTTAAGGTACTAAAAGTAAAGGTTTAATGTTTGACAAATAACAATCTAAAAGATGAAAACTATTTTGAAATGACGTATTTTACCGAAAGGATCCATCCCGACCTTTTGGTTTTCGATATTAACTTTTAGACTTAGAGTGCTATATAGTTAGAGAGGAGATGTCAGGAATATCAATGGCGTGGGATTAGTTTGTTAGAAGCAATTTGACTTCAAGAATCACTAGTTGGAAGCCTAAACTAAAGGATTTTTATAGGTGGCAATTTTTATTTTGGCGGGAACACCCATATACGGGCCACGCCCTTTTTCAGGGTTTCGCGGTCACTCGAATTTTTGTATTTCAGCCCAGGAAGGTCTTAAAGACTATTCCGATACACCAAAATGTGCCTAATAGCCACATTTATATACAACTTATGAAGCAACATATACCTTAAAATGCTTCGTTTCGGAAATATGGCCGAAAAACGGTTTTTGGCTTGACGCAGTTCATAATTTCCGTGATTTTTGGCATTTCCGCCTAGGAAGGTCGTAGAGACTATTCTGATACACTAAAATGTACATAATGGCCACATTTATATACAACTTATAAAGCAACATATACCCTAAAAGACTTATTTTCGGAAATGTGGCTGAAAAACGGATTTTTGCCAAGCGAATAATGACAATATTCACAAATGGGCTATTGGACTGTTAACTAGAAAGGTCTTAAAGACTCATGAGCAACACAGCATTTGTAAGATTACTCACTTTCTGTCCAGAAAAACCTACAAAAATTGGAGATTGATCTACTTTATTGGGCATCTCTCTTAATGGGCCAGGCCAGCAGCATATTTGTGTCTTACGAAAGAGCAATTTTTCAAAATTACGGTTTCTTTAGTAAAGGTGAATGGGTCAGTTGCTAACAGCAAATTGTTCGCAATTACCGACTCCTGCACATCATACTATACTCAAAATCGCTCACTTTAGGAGTCATTAATAAATAACTACTACATGATTTGTGAAAACTCCAACAATTTTTCCTTGGCACCAATTTAGCCAAAATGTAATGACCAAAATTCAACTTTTGATTTATTCATTCCATGAAACCATTATATGTACTAAGAATACGGGACCTAAAATAACTCGGCAGTGGATCCGGGCCAGATTGTCGCTTGACCACTGACCAGTACCCCACTTTATAATTATAATTGACTTCACTGCCTCGACCAATATTGGTCTGTAATCCCTGGATTGAGATCTGTTGGCTGCAGTTTAATTTAGCTCATTTACCATAATAGTAATACCGCAGTGGTTTGGTTTGCATAGATTTTCCCATTGTATGATAATGTCTTAATGTCTGTCATTCCCTCGTTTTTTAATCAAGTGGTTACTGGCTAACTGGCTAGCTCTTTTGTTATTACAGCTGCCTCGAGATCTTATCTAGGGCACAATACATTAGTACTAGAACATTAGAACTGTAATTCTAGAACTTCAGATTAAGATTACTTGGCCGAATAGCAGGGTTCGATATTCGACTCTAAAACGCTCAGTTTAGGAGTGATTAGTAGATAACTACTGCATGATATGCGAAAACTCCAACTAGACAAGGATCATTCTTAATCAAAGTGTTCCTCGACTTGTACTTAAGTCTTGTAACCTACTGGAGTTTGGGCCACTGAATCGAATACGACCTGATATTAATTTTAGGATGTCGGGAAATTCATTAAGATTTTTGTTCTTTGGTTTTTCAATTGTGCTACAAATCCGAGTTTGAGTTGATAACACCGAATTTCTTGTTTGACTCTCAAAGAGAAGAACCAAGGCTTAGGTTCCTCTTTCTGGCTCTGAGATCCAACTTTAAGATCGGACTTCGGAGATCCTCGCGTCATAGATCATGTAAGTGTAACATCAGTACCGTAGATCAGACTTTTGCTTGATATTGGACCTATAAATCTAATTATATATTCGAAACGGGATGTAACCAAGGTTAATTTAGATAAGATATACCAGCTTTCGTGGTTACAAGACCCCACGAAAGGCAGGCAGACCATCCTAAATCCTCATGCTATCCTCACGTTGACCATCTAGGTCCAGACTCCAGCCTCTCATTAAAAAACAGCTATTAGGCCCGAGATCCGTCCCTTGTCCCGTAGTGTCCCGTCAGTAAGAGATCGTTCAGATTTTGGTCATTTAGACCCCTCCCCGCTCTAAAATCCACTTTACCCAAAGCTGGAAAAATTTCACATGTGAAACCTAAATAGCTAAATCAGCATCTTGAGACCTTCTATTATATAAACCCCGTGATCCTACTATAAGCTTATAACTTATAAGGCATTGCATGCCGAAATTAAGATTCACCTCAACTGGTAATATGAACCTGGTATGTTACCTGAATGTCCTCAGTCAAATCTCGAACCCTGCTAATGCTATTCTGCCAAGTAACCTTAATCTGAGGTTCTAGAATTACAGTTCCACTGTTCTAGTATTTGTGCCCATGCCCCAGATAAGATCTCGAGGCAGCTCACAGCTGAAATAACAGAAGAAATAGCCAGTCACCACTTGATTAAAAAACGAGGGAATGACACACATTATCATACGACGGGAAAATCTATGCGACTAAAAAAAAGAACATGGGGTCATTCTGAAGTGGGAACCAAACCACTGCGGTATTATAGGAAATTAGCTAAATTAAACTGCGGCCAACAGATCTCAATCCAGAAATTACAGACCAATATTGGTCGAGGCAGCGAAATCAATCATAATTATAAAGTGGGGTACTGGTCAGCGGTCAAGCAACAATCTGGCCCGGATCTAGTGCCGATTTATTTTAGGTCCGGTATTCTTGGCACATATATCATGGTTTCATGGCATGAATAGATAAAAATTTGAAGTTGAATTTTGGTCTGGCACGTCACACATTTTATTTAAATTGGTGCCAAGGAAAAATTGTTGGAGTTTTCACAAATAATGTAGTAGTTATTTATTAACGACTCCTAAAGTGAGCGTTTTTGAGTATATGATGTGCATGAGTCGGCAATTGCGAACAATTTGCTGTTAGCAACTGACCCATTGAACTTTACTAAAGAAACCGTAATTTTGAAAAATTGCCCTTTCGTAAGACACAAATATGCTGCTGGCCTGGCCCATTAAGAGAGATGCCCAATAAAGTAGATCATTCTCCAATTTTTGTAGATGTTTCTGGACACAAAGTGAGTCATCTTACATCTTGTGACAAATGCTGTGTTGCTCAATGCTCAATGCTCATGAGTCTTTAAGACCTTTCTAGTTAACAGTCCAATAGCCCATTTGTGAATATTGTCATTATTCGCTTGGCAAAAATCCGTTTTTCAGCCACATTTCCGAAAATAAGTCTTTTAGGGTATATGTTGCTTTATAAGTTGTATATAAATGTGGCCATTATGTACATTTTAGTGTATCAGAATAGTCTCTACGACCTTCCTAGGCGGAAATGCCAAAAATCACGGAAATTATGAACTGCGTCAAGCCAAAAACCGTTTTTTCGGCCATATTTCCGAAACGAAGCATTTTAAGGTATATGTTGCTTCATAAGTTGTATATAAGTGTGGCTATTAGGCACATTTTGGTGTATCGGAATAGTCTTTAAGACCTTCCTGGGCTGAAATACAAAAATTCGAGTGACCGCGAAACCCTGAAAAAGGGCGTGGCCCGTATATGGGTGTTCCCGCCAAAATAAAAATTGCCACCTATAAAAATCCTTTAGTTTAGGCTTCCAACTAGTGATTCTTGAAGTCAAATTGCTTCTAACAAACTAATCCCACGCCATTACATCTCCTCCCTAACTAATATGACTAAATTTCAGTGGATAAAATCGCGCAACGAATTAACACTACGAGACATTGGAACGTTTTTGGTAAAGATTCTGGAAGGGGGGTTTAAGAATCCTCTCCGTAAAGTGGACTACAATAAGACACCAGAGGTCAGCTAAATCTTTATTGCGACACTTTATTAGACTTTTCTACTTGTTGCTTTGTTGATTGTTGATACATTTATGATAAAGCGATACGAGATTCCTGCTCCCTTCCCTCAATCTCAAATTTTGCTGAAAGTTGAAAAGAAAACGTTTTATGTCAGCAACACAATTTTACTTTGACAACTTGTCTTACTCTCATAGAACCCTTACGACCTGCTAATGATTTACTGTGTTTTAAATGACTGTAGTGATATGGCAGATCTACTGTGGGAGTACACTCACTCTCCCATATCAACTGCTCTTATCTGCTTCAGGTTAGCCATCTGCTATCAGGATTATTTTTATATTTTATTAGGATTATTGTTATATTTTATTAGGATTATTATTATTTTTTTAAATGTCAGGTTTAGTCTAAAATCGGTATTGTGTACATCAAGATGGCTACTACGATGTAACTGCAATCGCAGTATGGTGAGTGGCAGTCTAAGTAGAGTCATCCCACTTGATCTTACTGGGTATAAACTAATAACAAATTGTGGATAAACCAGAAAAGTCTGATTCAATAAAATCGTCTAAACTGCAACAGGATATACAAGTTCCACGCGGAATACACTTGCAGTTTAACAGCGTACGACCAGGACTCTGAAACCTTTTGTCTGGAACAAGCCGAGTGAGTCAATATTACAATTTCGTTTGCTATCCTTCACAGTATTGTTCATATATGTGAGTAATTGCAGACGATACAAACTTCATAAGTTCATATGATCACCTGGTAATGTAAACAACTTTGTTCTGATTACCTGGTAATGTTAACAAATTTGTTCTGATTACCCGGTAATATTAACAAAGTTGTTCTGATTACCCGGTAATGTTAACAAAGTTGTTCTGATTACCCGGTAATGTTAACAAAGTTGTTCTGATTACCCGGTAATGTTAACAAAGTTGTTCTGATTACCCGGTAATCTTAACGTTGTTGTCCTGATTACCCGGTAATCTTAACAAAGTTTTTCTGATTACCCGGTAATCTTATCAAATTTGTTCTGATTACCCGGTAATGTTAACGTTGTTGTTCTGATTACCCGGTAATGTTAACAAAGTTGTTCTGTCCAGTAAATACGAAGAATACGCTTGCAAGTCCCTGACTCAGTGCCCTAAGTTATTTGATAAGGACGACACCTTCCTCCTACTGCACACACCTCACGGCTTCTGGGGTGGCCACTCTCTCCTCAGCATTGGTACAGGATTTATATTTAGTCTTACAAAAGAAATATTACACGTGTCATACTTGCTTTTCGTGGAATGTACCGTTGTTATGAAGTAGCAGATCTTTACTATCAGCTAGTATCCTTTGAGATAAAATCTGTAAAATAGCAGATCTCGCATTCAAAGCAAAATTCGAAACTGCTACTTCACATGAAAATTGCAGCAACAATGGTTGGCTCTGACAAGTTCCTAGCTCACGGCGCAGTGCAGAACTACCTTACTGACGTGTGGATGGGAGAGATAAAATCTACTGAGAGTAATATTAAGGTAAGAACTACCTTACTGACGTGTGGATGGGAGAGATAAAATCCACTGAGAGTAATATTAAGGTATATTCTTAGTGAAGACAATTTCTAATGGAAATAAATATTGGATTGAGAATCTGTCTTCAGAACCAATCAGAAATTTGAATGAAAGGAACACGAAATCATGAGACTCAATACTAATACACGACTCAATCAGAGTATCTGCTTTTATTTTATTTTTCATCTAAAAAATAAGGTTAAAACAATTAATACGGTTTTGAGCTGAAGTAATGTTATCAAAACCAACACGATGGTTGCCAAAAATATGTTTGCCAAAAGTAACAAAGTAACAGTTACATTTAATGATATTGTAAAACAATTAATTATTAACTTAACTACCTCCGACAGATAATGTTGAGTTCCTGGTTGATGTTCCCCTTACTGTTGAAGTATGAACAACGGGAGCGGACTAACGAGGAGATACAGCAGCTGTTGATAATGGAGCACAGTACTCAGGGCACTTGTGATTTTGATGATCAAGGGGTGGGTTTATTGTAAGATTTTGGAATTAAACCTTTTAACATTTTTTATAATTGCCACTTTTTTAAAGGAGCACCATCGTTCCGTAAACCTATATAACTCATAACATATCGGAAATACATGCTACCACAATTCATCCCTAGAACGAGATGGAGATGAACGTGACAGGAAAGAAGACGAAGAAGAAGAGGAAAGTGATGAGAGACTCATTAGAGAGTAAGAGGAAGTACAGTTTAAACTGGTACCAGAAGCTGTACGCTTGCTACAATTCTCCTATTGTAAAGTTCCAGTGGAACTTGGTTAGTTATACCTTTATAGACATGTTCAATTGAAGTTCAGGATATTGGATAGTTATACCTTTATAGACATGTTCAATTGAAGTTCAGGATATTGGATAGTTATACCTTTATAGACATGTTCATTTCAAGTTCAGGATATTGTTACACACTCAAATATAGCGTTTTGATATTACTGGCATAATTTTGGCATCTTTTAAGTTTCGATGGAACTTGGTCAGTTCCTATTTTATACAAACAGTGGCGGTATTGTTAAATGTTTTATGCAATGCACGTTACTTTAACTTTCATATTCAAAAATTTGACTAACATGATATGTCATGTCTCAAGCAGAAAATGATCAGACATCAATTATAGTCAATACACATTATTTGTTTAACCTAAAGTTTACCCTGAAGACCTATTATCAACCATCCTCAGATTTGGTTTGTAGTTTTCTTGATAATCTACGCTTACTTACTGGTGGTGGATCACAACAAAATCTGTGCCATCAACAGTTCCTCTAGCATTGCTGCCCCGGAGGTCTATCTCTTCCTCTTCGTTGTGGGAACCTTGCCAACTGAGATTCTACAGGTATGGTTAAGGAAGACTCGTGTCCAAATTTTGAGTGTCGCTCAAAATTTTACAAATATCTTATGATAACCTGGCCCCTAGCTAGGACGTCCTAATACACTACTAGGATTTCCTAACTTAGCCCTAGGTGACCATAACGTAGCATTAATACGTTTAAATAGCCCTAACATAATAATGTCATAGGGGACAGCTGTATAACTGTATAAATATATATTATGGGCTCTACTTACTCATAGCTGCTGATTTCTCAGCCAGTAAGAGCAACAACCTGCGAGTGCGCATTGGCCAACTGAGTGACATACAGAGTAAGGTATTGTGTCTTCTTGAGATTTGAGATCCTTACAGGGCCAGACAGTCTAACAGATTTTGCTTTTTATGTTTTATTAACCAGGGACCAGTGGCTAATTAAAAAGTATTCGTACAATGATACAGCCTTAATATATCAGGTGATTTGCTTCTTTGCGAGTGATTGGTCCATAGGACCTCATTATGCTGTATATTCATTGTTTAGGTCGCAGGTGGCTTGCCGGCAAATAGAATTGAATCGAATAAATTACTTAACATATAACCGAGATCCATAATCGAGCTTCTCTGACCTTATCCTTGTATATTATCAGGCACGTAGCCAGGGGGGGGGGGGCTAGGGGGGCGGCAGCCCCCCCCCCCGGAAAAAATCGAACCCCAGAAAAAAGATAAGCCCCCTAGTCCCCATGGTCGCCTGGTAACTGGGCTGTGTTTATGACTGCAGTCAGTCAAAGATTTGAACTGTGGATTAGTAAATATATGTCATTAAATCCAAGCAAACATTCTAGAAGACTTCTATAATTATAGTCAATAGTGTCCCCTAGACCGTAGGAAATGTAAAAATCTTAAAACGATGAGGCCTGAGTAAGTCGTAAATTCTGATTGGAGAATGCAGATTGCTGTTGTGAAGTTACCAAATTTACGTGAGTACTTGATTCTTTTCAATCCCAGTTTATTGCTGTCCTACAAATTTCTTTAATGCCAAATGTCGTCTAAAACACCCTGTTTCGCAAAAAATTTCCGGGGGGCTGCGCCCCCCTAGCCCCCGCCAAGGGGCTCCGCCCCTGGACCCCGCTGGGGGCTGCGCCCCCAGACCCCTGCCACAGCTTGCTCGCTTCGCTCGCTGCGCAGCTTGATTGGACGCGTCGGCTCGCTTCGCTCGCCGACAGCCCCCCTCAAAGAAAAATCCTGGCTACGTCCCTGTATATTATAAATGGAGTACACCTTAATAATTGGACCAAAGCTCAGTTTGCTTTAGTCCGAGCTTTGCCTGGTGGCCCTGCCATGGCTCTTCAGCCTGGACAAGTCTGACTTATACTAAGCGAGTATTCCCTCGATATGCATATTCATATTGCAGCTTATCACCATTAATCTTTTCCTAGACTGAGTTCTTTTCCCGGCGAATAAGTTGAACTACCAAACTCATAAAATTAAGGTAGACTAATAAAGCTAATCTAGAAGCAAGCCGGGTTTAACATTTCCAACCAAACTTTTTTATAAATTTTCAAATTTATTCAACAGTTTTCTAAAATTTTTATTCAACAGTTCAATTGATGCACGTGAAACAATTTAGTCAAACGAACAGTTTTATTCTTTATCTGAGTCGTATAAAACAACTAACATTATTGTCAATCTTTAGGCGGCACCTATTATGTGAATTGCATTTCGTTCAAACTATACCGCTTGCTCAAATATCTTTCATACTTTAAAATATCCACAGAAAATGTTCTTTATAAACTAACTTTCTTCCAGCTATAAAGTTTTAATAACCTCGTTTTTCAGTTAGTGAAAAACCCGATCCTAGGTAATTCTTATATTGACCATACGGTTTTTTGAATACGATTTTAAAATACGTTAATAATCATGCAGATTATCTTTAATTTTCAAATTTTTCAGTTAGTGAAGAACCCAGCCAGCAACCCAATAGCTAAAATATGGAATCACTTCTCAAGTTTCTTTAACTGTGTGGACGGTATCGCCATCTTTACCTACTTCGTCTCCTTCGTCATCAAGGTAAATGCTAATTGTTCTCTCTCTCTCTCTCTCTCTCTCTCTCTCTCTCTCTCTCTCTCTCTCTCTCTCTCTCTCTCTCTCTCTCTCTCTCTCTCTCTCTCTCTCTCTCTCTCTCTCTCTCTCTCTCTCTCTCTCTCTCTCTCTCTCTCTCTCTCTCTCTCTCTCTCTCTCTCTCTCTCTCTCTCTCTCTCTCTCTCTCTCTCTCTCTCTCTCTCTCTCTCTCTCTCTCTCTTTATTTACCTACTTCGTCTCCTTCGTCATCAAGGTAAATGCTAATTGTTAGATCAATGCTCAATCAAATATCAATCATATTCGAAAAATGGGACAGAAGAATGGGAGAGAAGTTGGATATGATTTTCCAATATGCAATGCATTTTCCAATTGGAATCAAACTTCCACCATCTCAATGCCATATTGTTTTAACTACTTGCTTGTTAATTGATCAATCTAATCACAGTATTTATGTATTCAGACATTTTTTGTAAAACCAAAATAAAATATTTTACTTACAGGTGACCACTTCTCCGGATCTTAACCCGGACTACTTGCATGACAACAACGAGTGTAAATACCATATTGCTTCGCTCAACACGTTTTACGACCAGGTAGATAACATTATATGCAATCTATTACAAAAAGTAGTGGATCATTGTTTTATTATTTTTGAAAAAGCCTCGACATCAAATTTTCTCTTCGTTAATAAATGATATTACCCTTATTATATAAATTAAATGATATTACCCTTATTATATTATATTATTATTATATTATATAAGTTACACTACTGCAATTATAACTCACGATTTATCCCAATTGAACGGTTTTGATCTCGCGTTTAACTCGAAATTAACCTTATTCTCAAATCTGAATAGTCAACACGTTTGTCTAAACTCTAATAGCTATATGTAGCCCTCGCTTTTACCTTTGAAATACGTTTCCCACTAGGAGTTCAACGCCCTGAATGCGGGTCACGTGTTAAACGTTATCAGCTTCATGTTTTACGTCATAAGAGCTATGGACTTCTTCAAACTTTCCGCTGAGATGGGACCTAAAGTCATCATGATCTTTGAAATGATCAAGGATCTATTCTTCTTCATTTTGTTGTTGTTACTGTTCGTGTTTGCTTACAGCATTGGTGCTCAAGTATGTTTAGTCGATTGCAAACATTTCGTTATATTTCATGTTAATACCAATTTTCGTCACGCTGATTTATCATTATATTTAGAATATTTCTGTTTATCTAGGCTCTAACTCGTTAATATTTTGAACAAAACGATATAATATGCTCGGGAAACATTAAATTGGACACTTATCCGACCATCTCAATCACAGGCGATATTGCGGCCCAACAAAGACCTGGAACCACCAAATAACGACTACTTGTTCCACCTTATCTTTTATCGTCCTTATCTCATGGCTATGGGGGAGTTTGGGATAGAAGAGTTTGTTGACGACTTCATGATTGGTGAAAACTTTACTTTTCTAACAGTTTCTGTAACTACACTACTACTACTAAAACTTGACTATACCTTAACTCCATAGTTACTGTAACTATATCTTCATGATTGGTGACAAATTTACCATAACTTTAACTTTTTAACTTTAACTCTATAGAAACTGTAACTATAATTTTACTATAATGACTTTACTCACAATTAAAAAAGGCGCGGAGTGGATTTATTTCAATTATCAACTTTCTAAAAAATGCTATAAAGAATATCACTGTAATCATTACAAAAGGTTGAACCCACTTTCCCCAGACCACTGCGACAGGACTTCGCTAGCTATGGACTGTGATGACCTGAAGCTGACCTCGCTTCTTGAAGTCAGCAAAATAGCCTCTGTCCACTACTACTTCTTCGTGGGACTGACTATTATCTATATAATGATCGCTAATATCCTTCTTGTTAACCTCCTCATTGCTATCTTCAGTAACACGTGGGTATAGTAATTCTCACGTAATATACTATTTGTGGGGCTCAGTGCATTATTTTCTTGGTGATGATTGATAAGAATATATCTATATATGGATAATATGTTTTTATGATCAATGAATTACACATAGTACATGTATGAACGGTAATGTGTTTAAGTTAAACTTATTATTAAAAAACTATCATAATAATCACTAACAAGGTATGGAAAATATGTTTAATAAAGTAATAACCAGGTATGGACAATATGTTTAATAAAGTAATAACCAGGTATGGACAATATGTTTAATAAAGTAATAACCAGGTATGGACAATATGTTTAATAAAGTAATAACCAGGTATGGACAATATGTTTAATAAAGTAATAACCAGGTATGGACAATATGTTTAATAAAGTAATAACCAGGTATGGACAATATGTTTAATAAAGTAATAACAAGGTATGGACAATATGTTTAATAAAGTAATAACCAGGTATGGACAATATGTTTAATAAAGTAATAACCAGGTATGGACAATATGTTTAATAAAGTAATAACCAGGTATGGACAATATGTTTAATAAAGTAATAACCAGGTATGGACAATATGTTTAATAAAGTAATAACCAGGTATGGACAATATGTTTAATAAAGTAATAACCAGGTATGAGCGACTGCAGGATAACTCACAAGAACTGTACCTGGTACAGAGAGCTGCTATGATAATGGACTTTGAGCACCGTACCATTCTACCTAACCCCTTCTCCATACCAGAGCACTGCTGGATGATTGGGAGGTGGATCTATAGGAAGTTCTGTTACAAGGAATCCGGGCAAGGTAAGTTGAGTATTACAAGGAATCCGGGCAAGGTAAGTTGAGTATTACAAGGAATCTGGGCAAGGTAAGTTGAGTATAACCTTTGCAGTAAGAATTTAAAATAAAATCAGCTTATCTTTTATAATTTAAAATTAAAATTCTTATAATACATCAAAATATCATGATTTATATTTTATGAGTTGTTCACCGGTTTGTTTGGGTTTCAGGTAAAATCCACGATACTAACTACCACAAAATGACAAAAGTAGAAAGGGCATGTGCGGACGAGTTTGCAACCCACAAGTTAGTTCATCTGTATATGGGTGGCTCTTTTATTGATTGGGGACTAGTTTAACAAATTATCTTATTAAATTATGGTTAAATTAATCATTATTTCATCATTTCATTATCTTTCGCATAGGGAAGAAGAGGAAGCGGGATTTGTGAAGGACACACTGAAGGATCTGAAACAAAGCTTAATATCTGTAAAAAATATTCTCAACAACTCCTCACTTGGAGGAAACACGCTAGTTCGTAAGTTTAATTCACAGTTCCTGAATTCTATACGGCCAAGCTATACGGCCCGAACATTTTGATCTCTGCATTATTGAGCGACACAATATTTAATACTGAATACGCAGCAAGTCTTTTGGCTCACGACTGCAGTGGCTGTCAGCTCTTTCTCTTACTTTGACTTAGTTTAGATAAAGATAATAATTTATGTTATTTTGATCCTCATCAGGTCGAAAGTCCAGTAGTGACTTGGATGTATGTCAGGTATCTTTTGAAGAAGATCAAACGAAACAGCCGGAAAAAGAACTAAAACGTATTTCTACAACTGCGATCGCAACAGCGGGTATATTCAAACAGGTAGGTGTGAGATAGATTGAAACGGAGCACAGTTCATCATCAGTTTAGGGGAGTAGTTCCATCGGGATATTTTAGTATTTCTAAGTTTTTAAGTGACCAAAATAATGTTTATGGTGCATTTCTTGTAACAGTTTGTCAGCTTCTGCTTGATAAGTAGAAACTAGAATTAGTAACCAAAGTACAATGCCCTCCATAAAATACAATACCCTGGTCCCTGTTAAAGTCACCAAATTACATATTACTAATTACTAGTACATAGTAAGTATTATGATAAGGTTGTTATATATTATGTAGTCTTATTCAAGTATTTAATACGTTATTTAAGTATTTTATACGTTATTTAAGTATTTTAAACGTTATTTATGTATTTTATACGTTATTTAAATATTTTAATCGTTATTTAAGTATTTAATACTTTATTTAAGTATTTAATACGTTATTTAAGTATTTAATACTTTATTTAAGTATTTAATACGTTATTTAAGTATTTAATACGTTATTTAAGTATTTAATACGTTATTTAAGTATTTAATACGTTATTTAAGTATTTAATACGTAACGTTATAATAGTACTATTATATCTCCAGGTTGCAATATCAGAAAGGCCGGTAGAGATACATACAGACTCCCGTACATCTCCCTATCCTAAGACTAAGATAGAGAGGACTGAGGTACCCGACAGTCACGTTCCTTGGAAGGTAAGGTATATTTTTATAAAGGAGCAAAGTAATTAATGATTGCTTTGTGAGAAATAATCACGTTGTCTTTGTTGGATGACATCAAAATTATGAATCTACAAAATGTATTGAAACATTAAAATCATCGAGTAGTTAGAATGTAAAATCTCCTTTCGACAATATTACTTTTTGTGTTTGACACAGGTTGTCTGGGAAGATTATTCACCGGTGGAGTACTCTAAGAAAAGACCAGTGGATAAACCTCATCACCATGACGATGAAGCACTGCCAATGTCACTCATCAAATGCTTCAACAAGTACAGGGATGGTGTGAACAGGAAAAGCTTCTTGGGTTAGTTCTCAAACACATTGTATTAATCGCGAGTATACTGGCTTACTAACGTCTAACACAGTATAATCGCGATTCGCTATTGTATTTCTGGATGAAAACTGTTCTGTTCTATGATTTAATATTTTTCCATGATTCCAGTTACAGATTCGTCTTAAATGATAAAAAACTCGCCAGAAAATTCCTAAAACGACTGCAGTTCGTAAATAACAATTCCTTTATGACTGCAGGAGTGTACGGTATAGACGAGATAGGAAGACCAATTAACCCCAGAGGCAGGACAGGTATATCTGGTAAAGGTAATCTAAAGAGATGGGGACCAAATCTTCAGGGGGATGTCATTGTTACCAGGTACACTTCATCAAATACTATCTACTTATCTAAATAATCATATGTCAACACGTCATAGACAATACGGAACAAGTCATTAATGTCTTTCTGTGAGACTTTATTCCCGAATTTCCTAAAAATCTTCTAATTCATTGCACTAAACATCTTACTTACTAACTAACACACGATATCCTAGATGGCAGGTAGATAGCAATGGAAAGCCAGTCCGTCACCCAGAGGATGGTAGACAGGTGATTCATTAACTTATTAACTTATTTACTGTTATTTACTGTTTTTAACCAACTTATACCACCGGATATTGTGAAGCAGTCTCATGGATCCCACAATTACAGGTACTTGAGTTCGTGGCAGTGAGGAAACAGAACCAGTGGGCTATACCGGGAGGGAGGGTTGTTGAGGGGGAGAAACTGGTGGATACGCTGGAGAGAGAGTTCAGTGAGGAGGCGCTGGGTAAGTAGAGGAGGCGCTGGGTAAGTGGAGGAGGAGCTGGGCAAGTAGAGGAGGCGCTGGGTAAGTGGAGGAGGAACTGGGTGAGTGGAGGAGACGCTGGGTAAGTGGAGGAGGAGCTGGGCAAGTAGAGGAGGCGCTGGGTAAGTGGAGGAGGCGCTGGGTAAGTAGAGGAGGCGCTGGGTAAGTGGAGGAGGAGCTGGGCAAGTAGAGGAGGCGCTGGGTAAGTGGAGGAGGAACTGGGTGAGTGGAGGAGGCGCTGGGTAAGTGGAGGAGGAACTGGGTAAGTGGAGGAGGAACTGGGTGAGTGAAGGAGGCGCTGGGTAAGTAGAGGAGGCGCTGGGTAAGTGGAGGAGGCGCTGGGTAAGTGGAGGAGAAACTGTGTGAGTGGAGGAGGAACTGGGTAAGTGGAGGAGGAACTGGGTGAGTGGAGGAGGAACTGGGTGAGTGGAGGAGGCGCTGGGTAAGTGGAGGAGGCGCTGGGTAAGTGGAGGAGGAACTGGGTGAGTGAAGGAGGCGCTGGGTAAGTAGAGGAGGCGCTGGGTAAGTGGAGGAGGCGCTGGGTAAGTGGAGGAGGAACTGGGTGAGTGGAGGAGGAGCTGGGCAAGTGGAGGAGGAACTGGGTGAGTAGAGGAGGCGCTGGGTAAGTGGAGGAGGAACTGGGTGAGTGAAGGAGGCGCTGGGTAAGTAGAGGAGGCGCTGGGTAAGTGGAGGAGGCGCTGGGTAGGTGGAGGAGGAACTGGGTGAGTGAAGGAGGCGCTGGGTAAGTGGAGGAGGCGCTGGGTAAGTGGAGGAGGCGCTGGGTAAGTGGAGGAGGAACTGGGTGAGTGAAGGAGGCGCTGGGTAAGTAGAGGAGGCGCTGGGTAAGTGGAGGAGGCGCTGGGTAAGTGGAGGAGGCGCTGGGTAGGTGGAGGAGGAACTGGGTGAGTGAAGGAGGCGCTGGGTAAGTGGAGGAGGCGCTGGGTAAGTGGAGGAGGAACTGGGTGAGTGAAGGAGGCGCTGGGTAAGTAGAGGAGGCGCTGGGTAAGTGGAGGAGGCGCTGGGTAAGTGGAGGAGGAACTGGGTGAGTGGAGGAGGAGCTGGGCAAGTGGAGGAGGAACTGGGTGAGTGGAGGAGGCGCTGGGTAAGTGGAGGAGGAACTGGGTGAGTGAAGGAGGCGCTGGGTAAGTGGAGGAGGAACTGGGTAAGTGGAGGAGGAACTGGGTGAGTGGAGGAGGAACTGGGTAAGTGGAGGAGGAACTGGGTGAATGGAGGACGAACTGGGTGAGTGGAGGAGGCGCTGGGTAAGTGGAGGAGGCGCTGGGTAAGTGGAGGAGGCGCTGGGTAAGTGGAGGAGGAACTGGGTGAGTGGAGGAGACGCTGGGTAGGTGGAGGAGGCGCTGGGTAAGTGGAGGAGGAACTGGGTGAGTGGAGGAGGCGCTGGGTAAGTGGAGGAGGCGCTGGGTAAGTGGAGGAGGCGCTGGGTAAGTTGAGGAGGCGCTGGTCATGGGTGCTGAGTTACCATAGTAACCATATTCAGTTTATTAATATAATTCAGTAAGGAGGCGCTGGGCATGGGTGCTTACTTTTGTTTTGTTATTTGATTTAGTTTGATTCTTTTTAGTCAGATTTTATGGTTTGTTGATTATGGGCGCGTAATTCTAATCGAATATTTTCGCATTCCAGGATCCCTCGACATGAATGCGGAAAAACGCCGGGAATGTATGAAGATGGTTGATAAACATTTCGGATTGGGAATCAATGTAAGTTGAGCTTTCTAACTTTCTAACTATTCAAACTTTATACAATACTCTCTATGTCAGGTTGAGACCTACTAGTACTGATCTATTTATCCCTACAGGTGTATCAAGGTTACGTGGACGACCCCTCTAACACAGATAATGCTTGGTTTGAAACAACAGCTCTCAGCTATCACGACTCTGACGGCAGTAGCTTCGCTAACTTTCCTCTTGATACGGTACCCCAACATTAAAAACTTTAATTTGTTTCGCGAGCTGACTTTAGATCCCGGGTTCGACCAATCTATTATTCTTTATTTTACTTCTTTATGTATAGGATTTCTTAAAACATTAACAAATGAAATATATGTCTACTATTGAGCTTTTCCTAACAACTCAACCTCAGATCGGAACAGAGGAAGACAGAAAAAGTTCCAGATGGATAACCTTAGACCAGAACCTCGACCTGTACGCCAACCACGAGAATATTATCGAGAAAGTGTGCTTCCACAGGAACGCGTACTGTCCTATTACAGACGAAACTGACACAGTGGAGGAAGGAAAAAAGTTGTTGAAAAAGAAATCATCGCTGTGGGGTGTATTCCTTAGTCCTGAAAACACTGACGAGGCTGATGCTTAAAGACTCCAGATATACGGCACGTAATTGATTATGAGATGGAGTCTTTGTTTAACCTATACGGCACTTTCTGAGTACGTGATACAGTCATCATTATAGTTAGATGGCACGTACTGCAGCTGTAGACGGCACGTAATGGATTACGAGATGCGATACGTACCGTTCAGCTATAGGGTTAAAAACTCCATTACGAACGACTCATGGTGCTATAGGATTAAAGACTCTATCAGTCTATCACACACTACTCATGGTGTTTGAGATGGATAATGGAAATTTATAAGTTTTTCACCTACATTCAGATGTATAATAATTTTAGAAGTTTTAGAACTATATAAGTATATAGTGCGATTACCAACATGACATAATCGGGGGAGGCTGAGCAGCAGCAGAAGAAAACCTGATCACCTGATCACCTGATCACCTGATCACCTGATCACCTGATCACCTGATCACCTGATCACCTGATCACCTGATCACCTGATCACCTGATCACCTGATCACCTGATCACCTGATCACCTGATCACCTGATCACCTGATCACCTGATCACCTGATCACCTGATCACCTGATCACCTGATCACCTGATCACCTGATCACCTGATCACCTGATCACCTGATCACCTGACCTTGTTATAGTTGTTGTCTTCTGCCGATACTCAACATTTTCAAATTTTCCGTAATGCATCGACTACAGAGCTATATCGATTATTTGTTCAGAATCCAAATTACCCATCAACTATCAAGTGAGAGTTGTTGTCTTCAATTTTAATAGATAGTGCGATAGTTTTACTGATTTATGGAACCATCTGCGCAAACATTTATGGCAATTTTCTATAAAAGTGTATTATCTATATTAATTTTACCGAAATTTAGGGACCCCACGGACATATGGCCCCAAGTTAATCCTCCATCGGCAAGAAATGTTTTTTTTCGTATTTGTACGATTGCCTTGAGCACTCCGTATTTAATAGCATCGGCTGCAGCTGCTGCTAGCACCTTCGTCCTTTGTCCTTCGCATCATTTTTATCGTCACGTCGAGGGACACGAACATGGTGATATTTTCATATCCACGGAATATCAATTATTTGTTTTTAGTGCTCGTTACTCTTTCTCAAGCTGTTGTAGTAAATCTTGTCTAAAATTGCCTAATTTGAACAAATCATTATAATTAGATAAGGAGGAATGTTGGAGTTGACGCTGAGCACAGCACAAGTGGTTCCCCTGGCAACATTCTGCCTGCTGGTTGTAATAATGGGTCTGGTTGGAAACGGCCTCGTCGTCTACTCATCTATCCGGTATAACGCCATAAAACTAGACCGGATCTCCATTGTACTGGTAAGGAACCTGGCAGTGGCGGATATGCTATACACTATAGTGGCGGTGATACCTATCACTGTCACCTACTTCGCAGGGAGGTACATTATGGGTGACATCTATTGCTTCATCAGCGCTCATCTGCCGTTCATCTCTGGCGGTGCAAACAGCCTCATTGTCCTGGCAATATCAGCCTACAGACTCAGAATGATTGCTTCCCCATTCCATGTAATTTCAAAGAGGTCCATTCATCTAGCTATTTTAATGATCTGGATTTTCGCGATGGCTGGACCAGCGATATCTTTAGGCTACAAGTCCAATTTTGTGTTTGTACCTGCGAGTGCTGAATGCCTCACTACAATTTATACAAATCAGGATGCTGCCCCTTTATGGGGGACTGCACTCATCCTACAGGCTATAGTACCCATTATCCTCATCACAGTTTTCAACTTGATTTTACTCTTGGTGGCTTATCGACAAAAGAAGAGACACAGCCCAAACAGTTCCGTTAACTTGAAAGGTTTGATCACCACTTTACTCTTATCTGGTCTCTTCATCTGTAGTATTGCCCCGTTTGCGGTGGTTACTTTACTCAAAGGCCAAGGAATTAAAGTGTCTCCTGCTATGGACCTCATGGCATTTCACTTTATATTTCTTAATGTCTGTGGCAACCCAATATTGTACACAATAACGAACAGAAGATTTGGAAAGTACGTTCAGGATCTTGCAAGGAAGATTGTATTTTGTGGCAGTAGAATGAGAAGAGGTAAATTTACTTCTAATCCTGTTCGACCACCAGTACCAGGATTACACCAGCTGGTACCAGTATCCTCAGGTAATCTTCCAGCTATAGAGACGACTAGTGTGGTGGAGGGGATAACTTTCAGGAACCCGACAGCCAATCAGGACACAGCTTTATAGTGAACACGTGACTTTGAATTGTAATATTGAGCACATCATTTTAATAATATAATGTGTTTGATTGTTCCATCTTTAAGACTTCGCCTTCAAAGAGGCTATCTAAAAATACACCCATCTCTACAGAAAAACCAATATCGTCAGATCAACTGACGTAGTTTAATAGTACTGTCCGACAGATAGCGAGTCTAAACAAAAGAGATACCCCCTCTCCCCCCCCCCCCCCCGGCCACTACCCCACCTGTTCCACCTAAACCTACATTAGTCTAAACTGCACAATATACTGTTCGTATTATTGTACACATCTCTCCGATATGCGTTAATAAATAACAGTGTGACTAAGCTGCGATTATGCCATTTGAGGAATATTTTCTATATTTGCAGGTAAAAGAATTAAGTAGTTTTTATTTATGAGTTCTAACGGGCTAGATACAGGATCATATCACATGATAAAATGTTAACATGTTGTACAGATAGGACCAGAATTAACTTTCAGCTCAAATATCAGCCAGTAGTAATTGATTACACAGGTACAATACTTCTAGAGATGTGGATGAAACACCTAATTTCTGATGCTAGTGGGCTCTAGCAATACCTTGGTACTCGCAAAGTTTTTTGCCACGCACCCGCTTATCTATATTTCATCGAGCTAGACAACTTAACATGATACGTCTGCTCATGAGTGATAGAGATAAATGGAGACATGCGCTGACACGAAACTCGTTCCAGATTTCATCTGGACCGACCTAGGCAGGTAGGCAGTACGTCCTTATTATTAGGACGTACATTTTCCATTTTTATACAGCTTTTTCTTTCTCTCTCAAAGCTTTTGTGAAATCGTTTACTTTCTGCTTTACAGTTAACGGAATAATTTTTACCTATATGATAACTCTAGGGAAATGTTTATATATTATAACAAAACCGTGCTGTACAACTTTCCAAAGCAATATATATAATGTATCGTAGGATTAACATAGAAGTTAGACATAATATGTATTCCGTGTAAAATTATCTTTATCCCGGTTGTTGCGACAAGTAAAAATGCTCTTATTAGGGAAAGGAGTTTACTCGACGTTTCAATGTAACTACATCGTATTCATGATCTAAAAACAAGTGTTAAAAATGCAAAACGTAAAAAACATATATCTGAGGCAAAATTTGTGTAAATTTATTTATTTTTAATCAATCAAATTTATCCAAAAATTCGATACAAAAAAGTCATAACAAAATTCATAACAAAATTAGTTTATACGACGACAAACATTTGTAGTAAATACTGTACATTCCTAAAACTACTACTGAATAAACTACACATGATACAGAAGCATGGAGTTCTACAACGGTGAACAGGTGCATGACGTGAAGTGTGTAGGTATGTATCTAGTGTGGAGTGAAAATGGCGGGAATCGTACTGACCAATGAGAAGTGTGAAACGTGGGAGCCTAATATGGTTTGATTGATGTTAAGAGTGGAACCTGATGAAACTGTGACGAGCCGCTTGTACCGCTTGAGCCGTGTTAGCATAAAGTTTTTTATAAAATTTTTTGTAACACTTTGTATTCATTTAACGATTTTTTTAATACGTTTTTTATTTTGAATGTAAAAATATTTTATGAAAGTAAATTCTTTTAAAATTCAAATTTACAATTTTCATAAATTAACAAACAAAATATATTTTTATGATGACCAAAATTAAAAACCTAAGATTTATTCTCATCTTTTTTACATTCTTCTGCAGATTTAAAGCCCGGCTAGCACACTAAAAATAGTTGCATGATCAATGAAATCGATTTAACAGTATGTGCTACCTATAAAGCTATAATGGTCAGATCAACATTAATTTTCAAAATGGCGGAACAATACCTCACGACTTAATTTGTCAAATAGGAATCTCAACGTTCTCAGAACAAGCCGATAGAAAATCAATTATAGCAGCAACAAACATGTTAATGCTTGTAAAGTGACCCATGTTACTTATGTTACCTATGTAAAGTGACCCATCCCCCGCCATTTGAAATGCTGACCGTGTCTGTTTTGTTGCTCTTATCCTGGAGCCATCAGGTGGTGCTAGCAGGGGATATCCAGGTACACTTTTAGAAGAGTTATTTTTTATTTACCTCATTCAACAAATTTGTGGGAAGTATTTTTTGTTTATTATATTATGGTGTTTCCAATTTTCTTTCTTGTATATACTTTTGGGTAAATTTACTTTTTATATTGGGTCAGCCATTACCATTGTAATTTAACTTTTGAATCGTTTAATCCGTTTAATTCAGGAGGATCCGACCTGTCACGGCGTACTGAGCTCTTTACCCCAGTCTGTGAAGAAAACTAAAGCCTGGAAAAGCTGTCAAAGCTCCAATGATGAAGTGTTGGAGTGTATAGAAAAGGGTTACAAGGTGATTTTTTACTTTTTTCAACCATTGTTATTGTGTCATTAACTTCTAGCTTATTTCGGCTAAGTCTGGCTAAGTCCAGCTGAATTCAGTTAAGTCCAGCTGAATTCAGTTAAATCCGGCTAAGTCCGGCTCAGTCCGGCTAAGTCTTGCTCAGTCTGGCTCAGTCCGGCTAAGTCTGACTCAGTCCGGCTAAGTCCGGCTCAGTCCGGCTAAGTCTGACTCAGTCCGGCTAAGTCCGGCTCAGTCCGGCTAAGTCCGGCTAAGTCTTGCTCAGTCTGGCTCAGTCCGGCTAAGTCTGACTCAGTCCGGCTCAGTCTGGCTCAGTCCGGCTAAGTCCAGCTCAGTCCGGCTAAGTCTGGCTCAGTCCGGCTAAGTCTGGCTCAGTCCGGCTAAGTCTGGCTCAGTCCGGCTAAGTCTGACTCAGTCCGGCTCAGTCTGGCTCAGTCCGGCTAAGTCCGGCTCAGTCCGGCTAAGTCTGGCTCAGTCCGGCTAAGTCTGGCTCAGTCCGGCTAAGTCTTGCTCAGTCCGGCTAAGTCTTGCTCAGTCCGGCTAAGTCTTGCTCAGTCCGGCTAAGTCCGGCTCAGTCCGGCTAAGTCCGGTTCAGTCCGACTAAGTCCGGTTATGTCCGGTGGTACAGTTCGAATCATGAAAAATGCATTGTAACTATGTAAATTATAGATCACGCTAACATTTCCCCAACTTTCACGGAACCTTGAGTCGGTATACGTCAGTTGAGATAGTACTACAGTTATAATGTTG